GATGTCACTGCTAACTGTATTACCCACACAACATCCCCCAGTGCACTCTCCTGAAATCCCTCATTACTGGGCTACCCCAGAGACTGTAACCTTCCTGAGGTAGACAGAAACTCATGAGGGCTTTATCCCTGGGCAGGGGCATGTAGCCACCCTTCAGGAATGTGTGGAGTTGCATACCTGTAACTTGCCTTATTCCCATGTTGGCACTGCACACAGTCCTTAAGGATAATTAGCATTACTTTCTCACCACTCAAAAATCACCTTCCTTCCCCCTTGCCATCCACCCTCCATCGCATATACATTATTATAAGAGTGTATTACTCTGAGCAATTAAGAATTGCTGAAGAAAGAGAAAATGTAAGATCCATGTTTCATTTCACTCTGATGAAATAAGTGGTATAAAGTGGGTGAGATCTTTGAGTTCAGTAAATGCAGGGAAAGAATAATAAACTGTAAAAAATAAACTGTAAAAAAACCCCAGAAGCTCTAGTTAAATGGCATTTGACAATCGGCAGGGAACGGTGGAAAGAGGGAAAAATATTTAAAGAGATTTATAGTGGAAAGAAAAGGTAAGCCCTCAAATTTCTGAACACAGTAGCAGCGAAGGGACTTTTACCTTCGTGCACCCAGCACGATACCTCCTCTTTTCTGTACTCTCAGTGAGCGCTTGCTGTACACGAGGGAAAGAAATCTCTCTTCCTGCCTCTTCCCTTCGTGCATTTGATTCCAACTAACTTGGAAATGGCTTCAAAGATGACTGATATATTAAGGTATGGCTCACAGAGAGAAGGGAGCTGTCCTGTCTGAGTGGTTCTTAGATCAAGACCAGAAATTTTCAAATGGCACTAAAAGTTCCTCGGTCACCGTGAAGATGCAAGGAAGCTTGTGAGAGGTGACTGAAGGGGGTGCTGGCTGTTCCCTCTCTTCTTGGGCAAGTAGACCCTTGGTAGCCCCAAGAAGAAAATAAATCCAAGATTTTATGATAGCTCTCACAATCCACATCTTACTAACACACAATATTTAAAAATTATAAATGAACAAATGAAATACTTTGGAACATATTCTCTGTTTTGGTGCTGAACAACTTTGTTTTAAATAACTAAAATTCCAAACCTAAGCCCTTACATGTAAAGCACTAGTAATGAAATTGGTACCATGTGAAGATGATCGTTTTCATGATTTATTGACCTACTATATAGGTCATCTGAATCTCAAAGCTACCTCGGCCTCTGACGTGGCTGGAGTCCCAAGACGGAGGCCAAAGCACGCCTGCCCGCTCAGCCAGCCAGATGTCCAGAATGCCCACTTCACTCACACTTGGACATTCCAGTGGCATGATTTCACTGGCATTTCCATATCAGAGAGGAATTCCAAGAGAAAGCATCGTATTTGAGCTGCTTGAAGGGACTGCTCTACGCAATAGACAAGTTATTTGTCTTTTTGAGGCCCACATTTGTACAAAGAGTATAAAAATGAGAACAGTATGAGTTAGAAAACAGGTCTGGCTATTGTAACGAAAGTCAAAATAATTGGCTTAAAAGAGGCAGGAATTTATTTTTCTGTCCTGGTACAGTCTGAACATAACCAGTCCAGAGCTCAGAGGGCGGCTCAAGTTTCGCAAAGGCCCCTCCAGTCCTGTTTTGCATTGTCAACCTCTCGGCTTTCATCTCTGGGCTAAACTGTCCGTAGCTCTCGCCTTCACGCACACCGTGGGAAAGGAGAGCGCCGGGAGCGCAGGACCTGCCAGTTTGCGCGCATCATTCCGGCTCGCATCCCATTGGCTGGCCCTTCGTCACGTGGCCTCGTCGAGCTGTAAGACCAGCAGGACGAGGGAGGCCCCATCGGGGATGCCATGAGCTAAAATTCACGACTTGTCTTGCTAACAAAGAAAGGGAGAATAGGTACTCAAGGAAGCTGGCAATTATCCGTAGGGTTCTTTGTGGTTTCTGCTAAAAAATGTTTGACAGAAAGTCAATGTTCAATTGGTAGGAGATCACTTTTTTTTTAATAAACAAAAATTTAAATCAGTCAGTTTGCTTTTATTCTTGAAGAGATGAAAGAAAGAGGTATGTGTACCTCCACACAGACATACAGCGTGGGTCAGATGAGGAATGACTGAGGTCGGAGGTGAAGTCACTAGCGCTGCTGCTGCTGAGTTTAGGTCGCGAAGGACCCATCCACCAGCCCAGCCCTGCCCCGTTCCTCGACCAGCCCTGACCGGGCTCCCACTGGTGGGCGGCCTTACAGCGACATGAGTAGGATCCAGTGTGTCTCGGGGGGTCCAGACTGAAGCTTGGCTTTAAGGCCCGTTCATTTCTTCAGTTCATACATCTAAGCTTCGGTTGCATTTCCTCCCCACTGGTCCTAACATACCTCAGCGAACAAGCCTACCCAACACATTCCACAAGGGGACGTTGCCCCCAGCCCCGGTGTAAACTGCTGTGCTGTGAGCATCAGCTTTCACACACGGACTCTTTTTCCCTCCAGTTCAAAGGGCAGCGAAGACGAGGACCATCAGCAGCCGAGGCAGTTGTAAACTCTGCCCAAGAGGGATGCATCCAGAAGAGAAATGAAGACAAGAAGAACCGCCATGCGGCAGGGGGTCTCTGCGGTGTTGAGTGGCCACACGGTGGTGCTCCGTAAGTTCCCGATCACAACGTAAGGAAACATTTAAGTCCTACCATATTGTGTATGTGTGTGTGTGTGTGTTGGGGGGGGAGCATTGATGGTAGTGGAAGGAGGTGCTTCATGCCTCATCACGTGTTCAAATGATTCTCAACATCTAGCAGGACACCCCAAGCAGGACACACCCACAAAGCCGAGTGAAAAGCTACTTGGCCATTTGGCAAGGTTACTCTCTAACTAAGACATTCCACTGACAACTAGAAAATTAAAATCGAACTGCGGAGTGCTTCCCTGTAAGTGTGGAAAGGGGTAACATTGTATAACAGGTGTCTTATGGATTTTTCTGTCAAAAGTACAATAGTCTGACCAATAAGACTAGGACTCAGTAATGGGAGAAATTTCTTATGGATTCTGACTATATAACTAACTCAGTGTGAGGGATCTAGTGGCCTCCCAAATTAATGTTTTATGGTTGAGAAAGCTATGGACCTGCTTAGCCCACGTGGCCACACAGTGGCAGTGCAAAATTAAAACCTATGTACTGGGGGCTCACGGTCCAGCAAGCCTCGTTGGGCACATTCTAACACCAGAGGACTCTCATTCTGCAAAGAAAATATATTTTGTGGGAAATCATTAATATGTCCTTACAATGATTATTATCAAAAAGGATGAGACTTTTTGATGAGACGATGAAACAAATGCTGAGTGTATAAACACTGTCATTCAACTGTGGGCTAATGGCCACATTCCTGAGGAGTTTCCAGAGTGACAGAAGACCTCAAACAAACATTTGGTTCTGGCTGCACACTTTGTAAAAGGCATTAGAGCAAACGCTGAATGCAGGAGGGACTGGCTGACCTCAGTAGGCTGGGAATGAGGAAAATTCTATGTTAACTGACTGGGACAGAGATCAAAGAAAATGTTTATGAAACCGCCCTCTCTGTGTGAAACGATAGGACCGCATTGAGCGGAGATGCTCCCTTGCAGTGGCCTGCTGCTCCATCTGCTCTGGGACACAGGCAGATCAGCGGGCATGAGGAGAGCAGCCGTCAGACTGCCCTCATCAGCAGTGACAGTGGGCAGTGGCTGGCAGGTGGTGGGGGGCTTTGGAGGCAGTGGGTTGAGGGGACAGTGCACGGCGCAAGGATTCAGAGGACTGCGGTTCCAGCCAGAGCTCTGTCTCTAGTTCTCCTAGTTGAAGCACTTGGGGCCAGTGACTTTACCTCTCTGAATGGGCTTCAGTTTCCTCCTCCATAAAAGGAGAGGGATCTCCTACATTTTTTTCCCAGCTCTAAAATTCTGCTTTCTGGGGATCACTATTCAAATGCCTGTAGCAGTGTTTCCCACCCTGAAGAAATCTGCCCCTTCCTCCTGGGGACATTTGACTATGTCACAACTTGCTGCCACAGGGGGGAAGGTGGGACTGCTGCTGGTATCTGGTGGGTATAGGACAGGGGGTCCCACCAAACCTCCCAAATACACCGGGCAGCCCCCACAGCAAAGAATGCTCCAGCCCAAAATGTCATAGTGCCAAGTTAAAAAACACTAACTAAAAAGAGAGTATCATGAACCTGTTTCAGCCAGTTATGGTCATGGTGCCAGATTATGTTTTGTTTCTTTTTGAGAGAATCTGAAAATTGGATTTTTTTTTATGTAAAACATGTCAAATTGAAGATACAGTAACATGTCAAATTTCTTTATAAAACACTTTGGGAGCCAAATAAAACAGGGCTTTAGGACAAATTCTGTCTGCAAGCTGTCAATTTCTGAAATGGTATTTAGCCACATACTGTCCAAGCAGTTACTGCACTTTAGCTGAAAGCTTGGGTTTTTTCATCTGCATCTAGTTATCTGAGCTAGAGCTAAGCAGGTCAAGGTTTATCCACATGTGTGCTCACACACATGCATGGCAAAGTGGAAAAAACACTACACACACACGCGTGTGATAAAGTGGAAACAGCACTACATGTAGCGTCCAGAGGCTTTACCATTTATCATCTAGATAACTCTGGGGCAGGAAACACTGGCTTCTCTCCATTTTTGAGGAGGGTATCAATATCCTTCCTGTCTACTTTTGCACGTTGACCCAGAATAATAGTATCTTGGAGCAGGAAGAAACTTCAGAGATCACCTAATACACAATTAAACCCCAAGAAGAGACAGGACCTGGCCCTTGAACTCAGTCAACGGGAGCACCAGGACTTAGAAGCCAGGTGTCTTGACTCCCGGTCTGAGCTCTGAGAATGAGAGGAAGGACGGGGCGGGGCTGGGGGGATGGATATGGCCAGATGCGCCTCCCTGACACACACTCTTCCAGATGTGACCCGAGGACTAAATGAGGGGGGCAGCGACAGCGCTCCGGAGCCCGTAAACTGTCAGCGTCTCCCGGAGTAAAGACGGGCATCGCTTCTCTGGTGCATGAGCACAGGCTCTTTGGCCAGTGGCGATGCTAGTGCCTGATGCTGGTCACCACCGAGCCAGGGTGTGGGGCTTGCGGCACAGACACGTAACCACTGTGCAGAAGCCGCACACATCACTGTGGCTACCGAGAAGAACGGTGTTGTCACAGTGCCATCAGGACAGCAAGCGCAGGAAGCTCCCATTCTTTGTGACCGGGGGCTCCTGGTATTAGGAGATGGGTCCCCAAGGCTCACCCGGTTTGGAAGTCAGACTCCTCTCCGCACTGCCCCTTCCCTAAGCACCTCCCAGCGTTCCTGCCTGAGACCCCTGCTCACTTCCCGCCTCCTGCGGGGCTTTCCTCATCTTACCCTCTCTCAGGCCAGGACACCGGGGCTCTCTCTGAGGCTTTGCCCTGAGAACGGGCGTGCCCTTGTGCCATGCAGCTGGTTTTCCTGGGTTATGCCAGGTCAGGGTCCGCCCGCCACTGCCGGCTCAGACACAGGCCGAGCCAGCTGCCCTTGGGCTTCACGTTCTCAGGGCCAGTTCCAGCTTTGCTTAGCATGCTCACTGTGGCGACGTGGGGGGCCCGGGTTCTGCATCAGCCTTCGGAGCTTCTCTGTCTTCCCTAAATATCATGCTTATGTAGTGCTAAAATGTCTCCCGAGTCCCTGGTGAACATCGCTGCCAGCTGCGGTGTCTCTGCCACCGATGGGCAGGAGCACGCTGATGTCGAAGCTGCTGCCACGGACATGGCTGCCGCAGCAGGTTTTTTTTGTGTGTGTGTGTAGTGATACAGTTTTTGTTTACTTACAGGGTGTAATTATCAATATGTATTTACAACAGAGCCAGCTTGATGTGCTTACTTTTCCATTAATAGAAGACTGTGCTTTATGGAATGTGTACACCACCCTTTCCTTAAAGCTCAGCTGAAGTCTTACCTCCCTACCAGGCTTTCTGGCCAGCGTCTTTCTGCTCCAACTCCTCAGGTCTTACGTCTGTGCCACTCACGTGGGCCCACAGACTCTCTCTTACTGCTTCTTATCCCTCTGTGGTGACACATTATCTCCCTTGAAGGAGGGAAGGGCTGCCTGCTCTTTGTTCTAACTAATACAAAATACTAACCTTGCAAAACAACCAATATTTCTTACACTATTTGTATCCAGATTATGTGGCCTGGTGAATATAGGCCATATTCACTAATACAATATAAGCTGTATTCACTAGATCCCCAGCAGGAGTTCAGAGTGGCTGGAGCTATGAGGGCCAGTCTAATAAACAGTATCTCACGTCTGTGTTAGAGTTATGAACACTTAAAAAATAAGACAGAGAGTAGCAGAGATAGAGGCCAAATTACTAAGATTGAGTCGGAAGACAGCTCAGGTGGGAGTCAGCTGAGGGTCCTGGTATTGAGTGAGCAGGGCTGCCATGGGGCAGGCCTCTCGCTGCTGGGGAGAAAACGGCCCCTGGGAGCAGTGGAGACGAGTTCTCAAATAGTTCACCTTCAAGAAGAAGGGCAGAGTTATAAATCTCCATTTTATTTATCTCAAATTTACCAATCTAAAAAGCAGTTTAGCTGCCTGGAGGCCAAGTAAGTAAAGAGATGGAGAGAAACTGGGGTTAGACATGCAAATTCTCTCCATATGGAAGGACACATGAGAAATGGGGGGGGAATATGTTCCCCCTTAACAATTATTTTTAAATAATGGCAACTTCCAAGTCATTTTTTCAAATATCGTTGTTTTAAATTTTGAACACATTTCTTTCAAACCTTGTCCAAATCCCAACACAATCTTCTGATATCACCTATCCTTCTGCAAATGAGTGAAAGCAAGAGTGGGTTTATGTCATAAGATGATTATATTGCTAAGGATAGATATACTAACACTTCTTAATTTATTAACTGAACTAAATCATCTCTTCAATGGCGGCATTAGTACCACCTAACACATGCCATCTGCCTCTCAGAGACTGGGGAGGGCGCGATGGAGGAACGGCTCAGAACTGAGTGAAGCCTGCCCACCCCACAGAGACTGGCAAGAAGGGCAACATCTGTTGAAGGGCTTGATTAGGCCAATTCAGAGAGTAAATTCAAAACTGGGACCAGAATTTTTTAGGCTATGGGAGCAGCATTACAAGCTTGGTAGCTAAGTCTTTTCTTGTTCTTTCCCTTTTCTTTACATAAAAGACTGTATTTTTGAAAAGCAGTTTTAGGTATGCAGAAAATTGAGGAAAGGTTCAGAGATTTCCCATAAACCTCCAGCTCCCAAACCTGCTTGGCCTCCCTCATGATCAACAACCCCCACCAGGGCAGGGCATCTCTTACAATCGATGAACCTATATAGACACACATGGTCACCCACAGTCCATGGTTTATACTAGGGTTTACTCTTTGTGTTGCACATTGTACGAGTTTGGACAAATGGATGGTAACATCCATCCATCCACTAGGGTATCATACAGAGTATTTTCACTGCCCTGAAGATCGTCCGTGCTCTGCCTAGTCACCTCCCCCCACCGAGCCCCTGCCAACTGATCTTTCCACTGTCTCCACAGTTTTACCTTCTCCAGAATGTCATGCAGTTGGAATCATACAGTATGGAGCCTTTTCAGATCGACTTGTTTCCTCAACATCGTTTCATGCTTTGATAGATCATTTCTTTTTTTTTGTATCAAACATTTATTGATATTATTTATTTCATGGTGCCTGGAATGCATTTTTAAAATTGGAATAAAGTTGATATACAATATTATATTCATGTCAGATGTACAACATAGTGACTTGATAATTATATTTGCTAGTTGCTTGCCACAGTAAGTATAGTTATTCCATTATCATACCAAAATATTACAATATTACTGGTTATATTCTGTACATTGTGCTTCCATCCCTATGTCTAATTTATTTTACAATTTGCAGTTTGTACCTCTTTATCCCCTTCATCTATTTCACCCATCCCCTAACCACCCTCCTTATGGTAAACAATAGTTGGTTGTCCATATTTTGGGGTCTATTTCTTTTTCTGTTTGTTTTGCTTTTTAGCTTTCACATTTAAGTGAAACCATATGGTATCTTTCTCTGCCCAGCTTATTTCACTTAGCATGATACCATTGATGTCCATCCAAGTTGTTGCAAATGGCAAGATTTCCTTTTATGTGACTGAGTAATATTCCATTGTGTACATGTACCACATCTTCTTTATCTGTTTCTCTATTGATGGGCACTTGGGTTGCTTCCATAGCTTGGCGACTGTAAACAAGGCTGCAATAAACATAGGTGTGCATATATCTCTTTTGAATTGGTGATTTTGTTTTCTTTGGATAAATTATCAGCAGTGGAATTGCTGGGTCGTGTGATATTTCTATTTTGTTTTTTGAGGAACCTCCATGTTGTTTTCCACAGTGGCTGGACAAATGTACATTCCCACCAACAGTGTAGGAGGGTTCCCTTTTCTCCACATCCTCACCAACACTTGTTATTTCTTATTTCTTGTCTTCTGGACAGTAGCCATTCTGACTGGTGTGAGGTGATACCTCATTGTGATTTTGATGTGCATTTCCCTGATGATTAGTGATGTGGAGCATCTTTTCATGCATCTGTTGGCAATCTGTATGTCTTTAGAAAAATGTCTGTTTAGGTTCTTTTCCCATATTTTCATTGGATTATTTGGGTTTTTTTTCGTGTTGAATTGTATGAGTTCTTTATGTTTTGGATATTAGTCCCTTATCAGACATGTCATTTACAAATATATCCTCCCATTCAGTAGGTTGTCTTTTTGTTTTGTTGAGGGTTTCCTTTGCTGTAGAATGAATTTCCATGAACTGAGATCAGACAGCTGTGCAGCCTCTGGAGACAGCATATTGGCAGTGCCTTGGAAAAGCCTCTTGGGCTGGCTTCCTGTCTCCATTTCACCTTTTCTTTTGAGAGGACCAAGAACGCTGGGCCTCATGCACTTGACTGGACTCTGACTCCTCCTGGGAAAGTGTCTTGGACTAGGAATGGGACTTGGTGGCAGCCCACTGCTGCTCACAAACATTTGTAAGGATGGTGAAAAACATTGCTTTCCAAATCCTCTGGTGGGTGATGGTGCCGGAGAAACCGGGGTGAAGTCGATCCTTTTAGGAGAATATAATTTCTCCGGCTTGCCAAAATCACTATCACTCAGGCTCAAGCTCTCATCCCATGATTGGCTTATCTGCATGGCTGTTTACACTTCCTTTCATGCGCAGCTTCTTTGTTCATCACATCCGTGCCTTCCTCCCTCCTGATTTGATGCAGTCTGCTCCTAGGAATACGATTAGGGGAGGATGACAGCAACAGGCTGTGACGGCTCATAATTGTTGTACTATTCCTCCAAGTTCTGAATGTGTACTGTTGAAAAACCTGTGAAAGGTCACTGGGCCCATGGATCAGGGGAGCGCTGCTAGATCTCCTTAGGATGCGCCATCAGATGTGTCAGGCCCGAAGTCCAGCTCCATTTTCTCCTGAGCCGTGTGAGAGCGTCGCAGGCAGGCACAGCGGACAGTGCTCGCAGCCCCCGGTGCTTAGCTACCGCAGGACTGAGCTGCTGGGGGCTGGCAGTTGGGGGCGGGGGCTAAGGGGCGGAGAAGGGCCGGAGATCCAGGGCGAGGAGGGAAGGAGGGTGAGGATGAGGAAGGGAGGATGACAGGAAGGAAGGCGAGGTGGCGGTGGAGGTAGACAGAGGAGAGAGGGACAGAAGAGGGGCGTAAAAGAGCAAGAGGGGAAAAGGACAGACGGAAAAGCAGGGAGACAGAAGGGGGAAAGGAAGAGGGCAGAGGGGAGGAAAGAGGAGCGCAAGGGAGGAAAAGAAGGGCGACGTACGGGGAAGAGGAGAGACGAAGGAGGAGGAGGGCAGGGCCAGGGGAAGGAGGCGGAGGAAGCGAGGCAGCGGCGGAACCCATGCTGCTGACTTTCGGCCGACGACCTCAAGCGGGGCCGGGCTAGAGACAACGCGGCTGCCCTGGCAAAGCTGGCTCCGAGGAGCTGGCAGACAGGCTGGGCCCGGCCGGGCGGCCTCGGTGGCTCCAGCTCCCCATGCTCGGGGACCCGGTCCCGGAGGCTCCTCAGCCCTGTGTTCAGTACTTCTCCCCTTCCCACTCCCAACTCTCCACCTGGAGGACAGGTCGGGGGTTCTGCCCCTCGGCCGCCCCCACGGTGCCTCTGCTTCCTTTCTTGGGTTCAAATGGCCCAGGGGGACCCCTTAGGGCCAAGAGCAAAATCTACAACCTGCCGCCTCTTCCGCCTCCCACGTTTCAGTAGCGGGAACCTCCGCGGGGCCAGATCTTCCGCGTGCGGGCACCCATCGGGTCCTCTAGATTATTTCTTTTTAACATTGATATTCCATTGTCTGGATATACCACTGTTTATTTACCCATCCACCTACTAAAGGGCATTTTGTTTGCCCACAAGTTTTGGCAGTTATGAATAAATTGCTATAAACAGCTATGTGCAGGTTTTTGTGTGGACATGTTTTTAACTATTTTGAGTAAATACCAAGGAGTGCATTTTGCTGGACCATACAGTAAGAGTGTGTTTCACTTTGTAAAAAACCACCAAATTGTCTACCAAGGTGGCTTTATCATTGTGCATTCCCACCAGCAATGAATGAAAGTTCCTGTTGCCCCACATCCTCACCAGCATTTCATAATATCAGTGTTCCAGATTTTGGCCATTCTAATAGGAATATAATGGTATCTTGTTTCATTATTCCAATGACATGTGATATGGAACATCTTTTCATATGCTTATTTGCCATCTGTATTCTTCTTTAGTGAGGTGTCTGTTGAAGTCTTTGGCCCATTTTTTAATCAGGGTATTTTCTTATTATTGAGTTTTAAGAATTCTTTGTGTGTTTTGGTCTACAGTCTTTTATCAGATGTGTCATAAAAATTTTTTTCTCTCAGTCTGTGTCTTATCTTCTCATTCTCTTGACATTATCTTTCATAGAGCAGTTTTAAATTTTAATGAATTCTAGCTTATCAATTATTTCTTTCATGGATTGTACCTTTGGTATTGTACCTAAAAAGTCATACCCATGTTCATCTAGTTTTCTCCTATGATACATTCAATGAGTTTTATAGTTTTGCATTTTACATTTAGGTATAGGATTCATTTTCAGTTAATTTTTGTGAAAAGGGTAAGATCTGTGTCTAGATTAATTTTTTTGCACATGAATGTCCAGTTGTCCCAGCACCATTTGTCAAAAAAGATTATTTTTTCACCATTGTATTGTCTTTGCTCCTTTGTCAAAGACTTGTTGACCTTATTTATGCTGGTTTATTTCTGGACCATTTTTCTATTCCACTGATCTATTTGTTCCTTCATCAATATCACACTATCTTGATTACCATAAATTTAATAGTGAGTCTTGAAGTTGGGCAGCAACAGCCCTCCAACTTTATTCTTCTCTGTCAATATTGTGCTGGCTATTTGGGGTCTTTTGCCTCTCCGTATAAACTTTAAAATCAATTTATCCATATTCATAAAATAACTTCGGATTTTGATTGGGATTTCATTGAATCTATAGATCAAGTTGGGAAGAACTGGCATCTTGACAATATTGCTTTCCTATCCATAGACATGGAATATCTCTGTATATTTAGTTCTTCTTTGTTTTCATTCATCAGAATTTTATATTTTTCCTCATATAGATCTTGAACATGTTTTTTAGATTTATAGTTAAGCATTTCATTTTTGGGGGGTGCTAAAGTACTGGCATGTACTGATATGATTAATGGTGATATTATCAATAGCCTGTGATATGATGATTATATTAATTGATTTTTGAATGTTGCATCAGCCTTACATATTTGAGATAAATCCCACTTGTTCATTGTGTTTAATTCTTTTTTCTACTTTTTTTGAATACTGTTTGTTAATAAATTGTTGAGGATTTTTGCATCTATGTTCACGAAAGATATTGGTCTGTAGTTTTTTCATACTGTCTTAGTTTGTTTTTGGTATTAGGGTAATGCTAGACACATAGAAAGAGTTAGGAAGTAGTCATTCTATTTCTATCCTCAGAAAGAGATTGTAGAGAACTGGCATAATTTCTTTTTTAAATGTTTGGTAGAATTAACCAGTGAACCCATCTGGTCCTAGTACTTTCTCTTTTCATAGGGTTATTATTGATTTAATTTCTTAAATAGATGTATATCTATTCAGGTTGTCTATTTCTTCTTATGTGAGTTTTGGCAAATTGTGTCTTTCAGGGAATTGGTCCATTTAAACTGTTATCAAATATTATTCTCCTCTTAATATCCATAGGTTCTGTAGTGATCCCTTCTTTCATTTCTGGTGTTAGCAATTTGTGTTCTCTATTTTTCTTAGTTAGCCTGACAAGAGGGTTATTGATTGTATTGATTTTTTCCAAAGAACCAGCTTTTGGTATCATTGATATTCTGTATTGATTTCCTGTTTTCAACTTCGTTGATTTCTGTTCTAATTCTTATAATTTCTTTTCTTTTTCTTGTTTTGGATTTAACTTGTTCTTTTTTTTTCCTAGTTTCCTAAAGTGGCAACTTAGACTATTGAATTTATATCTTTCTTCTTTTTTAATATATGCATTTGTTATAAATTTCCCTCTAAGTACAGCTTTTGCTACACCCCCGAGATTTTGTTGTGATCACTTTCTTGTTTTTACCAGTCCCACAAATAAGCTTAGAGTTAAGGAAATGTAATGCTGGGCCAGATGAATCCTTGGATAATAACCCTTGTGGATAATAAGTGAAATTTCCCCAAAAGTAGGTGTTGATTTAAAAGGGTGGAGGAATAACAAAGGGAATTATTTCTGGCAAATAAAAGTAGAACTTGGGACAAGTAATAAAGTTAAGAACTAACCTATATTCTATAGGGTAGCTATAGAATACTGCCTGTTAAGACTTAAATTCTGGGTTTTTAGTTGTTTTTTTTTGACTATGGAAAATAGTAAGCAGATGGTCAGACTTTTTCTGAAGTACATCACAATTTTCTTGTTTACTCAGGATTTCAAAGAGATACTTGCAGTTCCAAGTTCACTGCTGCATTATTCACAGTAGCCAAGAAATGGAAATAAACTAAAATTCACTGATGGATGAATGGATAAAGAAAATGTGGTGTGTGTATATATATATATATATATACACACACACACACACACACACACACACACAATGGAATATTATTCAGTCTTAAAAAAGAAGGAAATCCTACCATTTGCAAAAACATGGATAGACCTGGAAGACATTACACTAAGTAAAAGAAATCAAACACAGAAAGATAAATACCACATGATCTTATTTACATGGTGAATCTAAAATAGTCAAACCATAGAAGCAGAGGGTATGAGGGTGATGGCCAGGGTCTAGAGCTATAGGGATATAGGGAGATGATAATTAAAGGGTATCAAATTTCAGTTAGGTAAGATAAATAAATCCTGGAGATTTACTATACAGCACAGAGCTATAGCTAATAATACTGTATTGTATACTTAAAATTCTCTAAGAGGGTAAATCTTAAGTGTTCTTATTACAAAATAATAATAATTATTATTAAGTACAGCACGTGGATTATGATTATAATAAAGGAGGTCGGAGGACACTTTGGGAGGTGAAGGATGTGTCTACGACCTTGATGACAGTGATGGTCTCATGATGCATACTTATCTCCAAACTCATCAGGTTGGGCACATTAAATATGTACAGCTTTTTACATGTAATTCATACCTCAACAGCTATGATAGCAAAAAATATAGACATGACAGAACGATCAATAGAAGTGAAGCCCATCCCATGTTCAACCACTACCATCTTGACCATCTCTTCTATGGAACCGTTTGACGAGGTGGCAGTGACACATCCAGAAGGAGAAAGGAGAACTATACATCTTAGGTGAGTAGCCATCAGGGTGGACTCCGAAGCAAATGTAAACCAATTACCTCTTTTCTTTTCTAAATACACCATAGCAATGTGACTCTGGGAAGAAAAACCCAATCCTGGGGTTATTTATGGAAAAGGTGCTGCTGCCTTCATAATACCATTATCTGTTACCTTTGCACATTGTAGCAGGAGCCATTCCATTCCATCTGAATATTTCTTCATAAACAAACATAGATCCTCACCAGGGATTTTTTTAATCCCAGCATATTGCAGAATTGCTTTCTTTTCCTAACTTCCGTTTCTATGAATAACTTACAGCATTGTGCAACATGCAGATGACACATGGAGATCAGGATTACTATGTTTATGTAGACCATGTTGCTTTTTGCCTGTCAAGTGCCTCCAAATGGCTTGGAAAAGAATACTGTTTTTTATAGCTTTCAGCCAAGAGCTACCTGACGTTCAGTAGAGCATATTTCTGGGCTCCTCTATCATGCCATTCAGGTAGACTGTATCAGTGTTTCTTTTTTTTTTTTTAATTAAGGTATCATTGATATACAACCTTATGAAATTTCATGTGAACAACATTGTGATTTCAACATTCACCCATATTATCAAGTCCTCAACCCCCCAATTTCAGTTACTGTCTATCTGCATAGTAAGATGCTAGAGAGTAATTATTTGTCTTCTCTGTGCTGTACTGCCTTCCCTGTGACCTACTTATATTGTGATTGTGAATTGTAATGCCCCTTAATCCTTCTCCCACCCTTCCAAACCCTTCCCTTTGGTAACCACTTGTCCCTTCTTGGAGTCTGTGAGTCTGCTGCTGTTTTATTCCTTCAGTTTTGCTTTATTTTTATACTCAACAAATGAGTGAAGTCATTTGGTACTTGTCTTTCTCCACCTGGCTTATTTCACTGAGCATAATACCCTCTAGCTCCATCCATGTTGTTGCAAATGGTAGAATTTCTTTTCTTTTTATGGCTGAATGATATTCCATTGTGTATATGTACCACATCTTCTTTATCTATTCATCTACTGATGGACACTTAGGTTGCTTCCATATCTTGGCTATTGTAAATAGTGCTGTGATAAACATAGGGTGCATATATGTCTTTTTGAATCAGGGATCTTGTTTTCTTAGAGTAAATTCCTAGGAGTGGAATTCATGGGTCAAATGGTATTTCTATTTTTAGTTTTTTAAGGAACCTTCATATTGTTTTCCACAACTGTGTAACTAATTTACATTCCCATCAACAGTGTAAGAAGGTTTCCCTTTCTCCGCATCCTTGCCAGCATTTGTTGTTCCTTGTCTT